TTTTTTCCCTCTCATGGTGTCAAATATTGTTACAGTCCCCAAGGCAGGGAACTTCTATTCAGACTGTAAAAGGAAATGTTGAAATCCTTAGCTGTCCTGTCAACAGTAGTGGAATGGAAAGTCGTCGGATTATTTTTGGCAGTGGTTCTGAAGCAGACATAATTGGCAAATTATTGAAATACTGCTGCCCAAAAATCCCCATTTGCTGCAAGAAAGTGGCATTTGTTGGCAGAAGCCTCTGAAATGTCCAGCATATTCTTTGGAGTTACCATTTAAGGATCAGGCTGACAATTGACTTCTCTTTGCACATTTACCCCACTTGTAACCTAAGCAGGAACTATTGCTAAATGACCTTCTAAAGGACACAATGCAGAATCAGCTATGGAAGCAAGTCAGAAAGCATGAGAGGAGGGAAATGTTTCTTAGCCCTGAGGTCTACTCTATGACAATAGGATATGTATTTAATGGAACCAAAGCTGCTTAGTGTGGAATTGAGTAAACTCGCAGATGACATGAAAACTGTCTTTATAAAACTCAAAGACTGCCATATGGGGTGTTCCTCAACACAGTTAGCTGGCTCCATAGAGAAGGATTATGACTAGAGGTAAAAAGGAGTTGGGAATTTGAATAGCAATTTTTGTTTTTTTTTTAAAGTTTTTATTGTGAATTGAGTGATAGTTTACATGGGAGAACATCAGCTTTACATTCATCCTATCATATTTCATTTCATTGCAATGACTACAGTCCCCTCCATGCATCATCATTCAACAACATTTGCTTCTGTTCCCTCTGTCCCTCTGTATTTTGTATTTTTTGGATGTACACCGAAGCACTCAGGAATATATAGCCATTTAAACAACCAAAGGGCATACCCTGCAATCCTGACCCCTGGTGGCCAACACACAGCCCCTCTCCCTCCTTGAATATAGAGTCCCCAGAAGCTCCATCTCTCCACATCATTGTCTCTGCCTCCAAATGTGGTGTCGCTGCTTCTCTGGATAGGGTCCCACACTCCACTTTTCTCCCTTGATGTTCCCAGGGTCCTTGGCTCCTGGACTGCAAGATCAACCACTCACCTCCTTTTATTACAAAACATCTACCTTTACATTTGTAACAATCCTGATAATAATTTGAATAGCAATTTTAAGACTACAAATAACTTCTAATATTCAGAAATGTTCAAAGATTGAGAAATTTCTTCTTGAAATAGTGAGCCTCCCACTACTAGCATCATTCAAGGAAGGATGAGACAAAGTAGAAATTCTGAAAGGGATTGCTCTCTTATTAGGTTTGGAGAGATGACTGCTATGATTCCTGAAGGTCACAGGGAGGTCCTGATCTGCTCCTCTTTCTAATGTAAATCTCCATTCCCAGGTTAAGTAATATCATCTAAATCAGTATAATTGCCAAATAAGATCCCCTAGTGATTAGATGGAGTCCTGGTGTGGCACTGTGGGTTAATGCACTGGACTGCAAAGTCGTTTGAACTAGGTCAGTGGTTCAAGCTTACAGTCACTCCTCAGAAATCCCATACAGGGTTGCTATGGGTCAGAACTGACTCGATGGCACTTAACAACAGCAACAGTGATTAGATAAGGTGGCAGGATGAGTTACAACTCGGGCCGCTAATTGCAAAGTCAGCAGTTTGAATCCACCAACTGCTCCTCAGAAGAAAGTAGAGACTTTCTACTTCCATAATGATTTACATCCTCAGACTGGAGACAATGGCAGTGGAGGAATGATTACATAAGCACATGGGCTTTTCTTGGAAGGGACTTAATCAATTCTGTTAGACTCAGGAAGATTATTTTAACTTTCTTAAGGTTTAATTTCCTCATCTGAAATATGGAAATAATCGTACCACTTCTGCCTATGTCATAAAGATCGAGGACTCAGTGGCAGGATATTAAGTTATTTTATTAAGTAAAAATGTTTGTGCACTTAGCCTGAAGACCTATTAGGAAGTGAGATGACATTTAAGACAACTCAATTTACTTTTGTTTCATTTTTTTTAATTTCAGGAAATGTTTCTTGGTCACCATGGACCTACCAATCATTGTTTTCTCACTTGACAATTGGTGTTTTCAACTGAGCTTTTTGTCCTTAAACTCAACAAATCAGAAAATGTATGTGTGTACCTAGGTTTCCCCTCTAGAATGTCACTAAAGTTTCCCCAGGGGCATTATAGGCTTTACTGGGGAATAGCATATACAAGAAGTATAAAGTAAAAAGCTTGTCACCACAAAAATCTTATGGTTGGAGGTCATCTTCATTTGATCTTTATCTAACTCCCATTGGATGGCCCTCAATATATTTTATTTCAGAAACTTCTTGAACAGATTGCTCAATCTTCTGATGTACTAGGCAGTCTGTGAAAAAATTCTGTATGTTTTAGTTCCAGAAATGACATGATGGGAACTCTTTGAAACCACTTGTATACTGGGAAATTCTGACAGAAAGTTTTGCTTTTGTTGCTTTGGAACGTCGTGTCCATCAGCTCTTACATTTTACTGATTTATTTTACACGGGAATAGTTTCAGATTAGTTTTCCATGATAGAATGTAAATATTTTGGTACATGGACAATGATGACGGATTTTTTTTTTTTAACATTTTCAATAATGGGAGCTCTTAAGAATCACAAAGCTTACTACCCCAGAGAGCAGTTGAACCTCTTTGGAGTCCTGATTCTTGACCATCCTCTAAGGCAGAAGAGAAAAATACCTAAAGTTGACTACCTTGGATTATTTGGTCTTGAGGTCTATTCTCATTGTCCCCTTTCTCAAGTATCACTAAGAAGTCCACTCACAACTTCCTGTGACTAAGGAAGTCCACTCACAACTTCCTGTGACTAGGAAGTGCAGGCACCTTGCTTAATATCCATGATTATTGTTGTTGTTCTTAAGTGCTATCGAGTCAGTTCCTAGAAATAAGGCATTCTGTCATCTGTACCTTGCATGAACACCATATTATATAAAGTCAGGCTCTTCACAATCTGTAGTTAAATCCCTCTAAAAGTTGTTTACAGGAGGCAGGACTTGCTGAATGTCTGGCTGGTAAAATGATGAGGCTGGTAGAAAGCCTCATCTTTCTACCACAGAGTGGCTGGTGGGCTCAAACAGCAGAACTTGTGGCTTGCAGTCAGTGCTTATTACATGGAGC